AGAAAGTCAATTTCCTAAAATGTTCCAAGATACCTGAAATTTATATGGAAAATGGATGGGTCGATAAGTAGTATCGTAAAGGGTATTTTGGACAAATTGGCAAATCTTTTCAAATCTTTTGTTTTGAGGATTCAAGTCATACAACACAATGTGTCTACTTTATAGAACATAAGTTATAAAGTTTTCTTCTAGCTCTTAGAATGTTCCTTTCTTCACTATGGCTTGATTTTACTGTGTTTCCCCTCTCATTATTAGTTGTGTTAATAATTACTCACAAACACTTACTGTTGCACCTTGATACACTGCTTCTACTGAAGTTTCTTTTGATGTGCATTTGCTTGGTTTCTTATTAACTTATGCTATCATCTTCTTTTTGCCTCTTTGGTAAGTTGTTCAGGCTACTCTTTAATTCCTTGTTTCTAACGTAGTTTATATCCTTGCGCTTGTTACTATGTCCTATCGTAGCTGCAAGTGCCTGTTAAGTTCCTTGTTTAGTTTGCTTGAATCATACAGTTCCCTGTGTTGTGGGATTGACTTCCTTTGAGAGTTGATACTCTTGAACTTGGATTCTAACAACCTTAGCTAAAAAATTGGCCATAATCATCAAGTTATTGTGTGAATGTGGATAATTATCATTCAGAAAATTGCTATTTTATTATACATTGTGGAATGATCTTGTTATCAAGTACAATCTCCGTCCAGGATAAATAATAGCTACATTGTTCTATCAGCTCATGATTATGGCAATATCACAACTTTGCACCATTTTCACTCTCTACATTTGCATGATCTTAGTAAGGGTATTTTAGTAAGGCCATTCACAAACTATAACTATATGCAGTAATTTAATGATATTTCCTAACTTCCTTATTATAGTATATGTGACTAAAATATTCTGACATGAGGAGTTTCTGAAGTGTGCTTCTGTTCTGTGTTTACATCTGTTCATTTTGAATCGACTAGCATATCGTAATATAAACATTTGAATTGACTTTGCATGAAGCCATGAACTCATTCTTGTGTTTTTCATGCATGATGCTAGATAATTTGGTATATTAAGGTTTGAGACTTGGACCATATAATATGAAAGGGTTTGACCTTTCTTTTGTTTTTTAAGGTATCGGGCAATTACCAGTGCATATTACCGAGGAGCTGTTGGTGCACTTCTTGTGTATGATGTGACTAGGCATGCTACCTTTGAGAGCGTGGAAAGGTGGTTAAAGGAGCTGAGGGATCACACAGATCCCAACATCGTAGTGATGCTTATCGGGAACAAATCAGACCTTCGTCACCTTGTTGCAGTACAAATGGAGGATGGGAAGACATTCGCTGAAAAGGAGTCTCTTTATTTCATGGAGACTTCTGCTTTGGAAGCAACAAATGTAGAGAACGCCTTCACAGAAGTTCTTACTCAGATTTACCGTATTGTCAGCAAGAAGGCTATGGAGGCTGGTGAGGATGCAAATGGTTCATCTATCCCTGCTGGTGAGAAGATAGACATTGGCAAAGAAGTGTCAGCCGTGAAGAAGGGTGGTTGCTGCTCCAGTTAAGGGGCTTGCTTATTCATAACTAGATTTCATCAGATTGGTTGAGGCGCAGATATGCAGCTGGGTTGTTGATGCTGCACAGTTTTTTATACACCCTGATATGTATAATTTTCTGAGATGTTCCCATCTATAGGAGGTAGAGGATTATTGGTTTATTTCATTTTTCCTAAAAGAGTTCTCTTAGACATTATTTGTTCACTGAAATATTTGTGAATCGTGTTCAGCTGGTTGAATAGAAAGATCAGTAGCCAAAATCTTTCAGTAAGCTGTGTAATATAGGAGTCCTTTATCTTTCCTTTGCACATCTCATCTATTAAGGTTCATGTTTCACACAGATGATCAGATGTTCATATTGTATCTGCTGTGTAAAACTTCTTCAATGCTTCAGGAGTTTAGGCTTCAGGTGAACTGTTGGGTAATAGCGGCAGGGGCGGTGGATGAAGAGTGAGGCAGGGGAATACAGTCTGTGCAGAGAGTTTTTTGACCTATTCAATTTTCAAAATTATTTTGAAACCTTTTTGATTTAAGTTCTTACAGAAATTCTTTCTTTTTCTTAGAAAGTTCTTACAGAAATTCGAGAAAACTATTTCATAAGAAAATAAATATCCCTCCCTACCTTATAAAAAGTTTAACAAAACACTTGTGAATAGTGCATGAACATTTATATCCCTAAAAATGTTTTTTTACATATTTGCCCCCATTTGATTTTAAAATTGTCTAAAATTGTGTTTATTTCAATGTTTAAGCCATTGTTTACTTTTTTTCCCCCCTATTTGGGATTTAAACCCTATTTAGTAGAAAGTATTCTAAATTTTAATTTCAATATATATGGAGCAGAAAAATTACGGAGTATATAATTGTGTATTTGTGTGATATTTTTTTTTCGTATAATGTGTGATGTCTTGTTTAATTTATTCAATTTCGTCTCATTAAGTACTTCAAATTTAGACATTTATATTTCTAGAACTCAATATTTTTTTATCGTTCTCTCGCTAAATCAAAGTAGCCCTATTAAGTTTCGAACATTACACAACATCCAACACATTTATCGTTATATGCAAATTGCTATAATAAAATATCATGCAAACAGGCATATGACATAAAGGACTACCGATTATAATTCTCAAAGGGCTAGACATATTACGCGCATCGCACGGATTAAAACCCCTAGTATAAACAAAACATGTGACTCTCATTTACCTTGAGCCCTCTAATTTGATGGTGTTTAGTGTGTTCACAGATTTAGATATAAATTATTCCTATTAGCGCGGAGGAAACACTATAGGTTGACCTTAAAGTTGCTTTTTAGGCTAAAGTTTGTTTAGGGTTTGTGGGCTGATAGGCATATGAAAGGCTTAGCAATAAGGCTTAACAATAAAAAGGGCATGGATAAAGTTCCTAGATGCAAGATTCATGTAAAAAAGGCTATAACATTCAAAGATCTAGTTTAACTTTAGACTTATGTAGAGTCTCTGATAACTTAGTATTTTTGGTGTTTAGAGAGCCACAAAGGGTAAGTGATGAGAATCGATCTCAAGGTCACCTAGAAGCGGGAGGAAAGTTTTAACCACTTAAGCTATCCCTGCCTCACTCTCTCTGACAACTTAGTATGAGTGTATGAATCTCAAGACTTGTAACAAAGTTCATACCAAGTACTTGATAGTTTAATATGGACCTCAACTTAGTCGTGAGACCTCAACTTATGTTATCTGAACTTATGAGACGTAAAATAAGTGAAAATAAGGTAAACAAAACAAGATATAATAATTTAGAGGATAATCTCTCCACTAGAGATAGACGTTATGAATATTTAATAGATAAACCAAAATTATAAGTCCTCGTACAGTTTTTTCGTTGATTTTATTTTGAGAAATTCTACATTGTGACCTCTAAGATTCACAAATTCTATTCTGAATCGCTATTCGTCGTTCGCAAATTACTGGGTGACGTTAACATTTTTAATTGAAATTACATTTTTGCCCTTGTGGGTATTTTACCTATTTAAAGGTCCACCATGGGTAAATTAGTTACCGACAACATAAAAACATTACCGAGCCCACCACTTGTGTTAAAAATTTCCCGAGCATTAAAAAATCCCGGTTCCACCATTGTACGGTAATCCCGAGGAATTTAAAAATCCCGGGGCATAAAAGAAAAGTGTACGGAGTGGTGTTTTATGATGGACGACGACAACGTTCACACGCCGGAGGATTCGACGGAAGAATCTGTAAGTATTTCGGAATTTTTTTTTTATGTAAATGGACATCCGCCTATTTTTTTCCGGAATTCTGGGGGAGATCCGCCCAAAATTTCCGGATGTCCCCACATACATCCGGAAATTTCAGGCGGATGTACCCATTCGGATGAAATTTCCGGATGTCATGGGGGACATCCGGAAATTTTGGGCGGATCTCCCCCAGAATTCCGGAAAAAATAGGCGGATGTCCCCTTTTTTTTTTCTTACGTAATTGTTATTGTTATTATTATTATTATTATTATTATTATTATTATTACTATTACTATTGTAAATTTTTGTAAATTTTTATTATTACTATTATTATTACTATTGTTATTGTTATTATTACTATTATTATTATTACTATTGTTATTGTTATTATTACTATTATTATTATTACTATTGTTATTGTTATTATTACTATTATTATTATTATTATTATTATTACTATTATTATTATTATTACTATTGTTATTATTATTATTACTATTATTATTATTACTTTTGTAAATTTTTGTTATGATTATGATTATTATTATATTAGTTATTATATGTTAATGTTACGTAGTTATTGTTGTTATTATTATTAGTATTATTATTGTTATTGTTATTGTTATTATTATTATCATTAGTATTATTATTATTGTTATTATTATTATCATTAGTATTATTATTATTGTTATTATTATTATTATTATTATTATTATTATTATTATTACTACTACTACTATTAATACTATTAATATTATTATTGTTATTATTGTTATTTTTATTATTATTATGATTATTTGTATTATTATTGTTAAATTTAAAATACTAATCCTTGCGTGTTTTATTTGTTTGTGTTGTTATTTTGATAGGATTCGGAGGTTGAAAACGACGGTGACGTTGTGAATTACAGTGCACATTTTGTGACAGACACGGTTTTTCTAACGTTTGACGATGCATTTACATGGGCGGATGCTGTTGTAATAAATCTGGGATTTATTTTGATGAAATCGTCTTTCAACAAACAGAGGGATGGTCGACCAGTTTGATATTTAAGATGTGACCGGGGACGCAGGAGTAAGCCGAGAAATCTTGAGAACGCAATTCGGAAGGACACCAAAACCAAGGGCATTGGTTGTCCTTTCTACATCAAGATATGTTACGAGTTCGTCACCAATACTTGGTTTATCCGGGCGAAAGATGATGTAACTGGGACCCACAACCATCCAATGATTGCGTATCCAGAGGGTCATCGTAAAATTAGTGGGTTGAGCCCGAATGCGAAGCAGGTTGTGCGTGACATGACGAAGTCTAAGGTTGCACCGCGTAACATCATGGCGTCTATTGCGGAGCAATTTCCTGCTGATCATCCAAACATCAGACACATCTACAACTGCCGGAATGACTTCAGAGAGGAGATGTCTGATGGGAGAGGAGTTGTTCAGCAATTTCTACATTCGGCGAGACAGAGTCAGTATGTTTACTGGGTCATGTCCGATGATGAAGGCGTTTTACAGCATGCCTTTATGGCGCACCCAGTCATGGTAGACATCCTACAGACGTACCCCTATGTGATCGGTATGGATTCCACTTACAAGACTAACCGATACGGGATGCCGTTCTTTGAGATAGTTAGCGTGACATTTTATTTGTCTTGAATTTGCATCTGATTCGCCACTTCCCCCGGTTGCAGGTTGGTGGACCGAGCACCACGACCCAAGTGTTGACGGTTGGGATCAGCGTTACGAAGCTAGAAGGAACATGTGGGATGCCTTAATTAGACAGTGAACATGTTGTTGTTATGTAAAATGTAAAGCAGTTGTCGTTATGTAAAATGTAAAGCAGTTGTCGTTATGTAGTCGTTATGTAAAATGTAAACGAATTGAACTTAATTAAACAAAATATTTAGAAAACCACCAAAACAGTTGTTCAATACTTAAAATACGGGACGAATAAATAGTACATAAACGAAATGCGTACAAGGGAAATAAAAAAAAACAGGAAGTTCACAACCCCATCATCACCCTCCAATCAGCTCGTAGCGCCTCAGCCATTGCTATTGTATCACGCGATAGGCTCGGATACTCCTCCAGGGTCCTGTTGATGACCTCCATAGACCGACCCATCCACTTCAATTAAAAAAACAACATATTAAAAACAACATATTATAAACAACATATTAAAATAGCAACTTATTAAATTATACCAAAAAATACAACTACTTACGTAATCCGTGTTAGTCCTCTCTGGCAGTGTACGACTCTCATGTGATGACGCAACTGGAGAAACACGTGGATGAGAAAATCGGTACAACCACTGCATGTAACCAGGACCGACTGTAGGAGCACCACCACCAAGTCTGCTGAGGGCACCTACCACGACACTAAAAGACATACCAGGGACAAACCGATTCCACATCACAGATGTCATCTCTGGCGGAAAGTCAACCCGATACATCTTCAAGTTCGTCGGTCTCTTAGCCTTCTCACGCCTGATAATGGCTGGTGGAATGCCCTGGACGTATCCAAGTTGCCGAACCACTCGATCAGGCATGTATGGCTCAATGATGCTACGATACTGGATGCAGCCAATGAAAAGAGTAGCAGGCACGCGTCGTGCTGGATCAACTCCGTACGGTAGCCAGTTAACTTCATTGTCAGTCAAATGATCCAACCTAGCCCGAAAAGCGAGAAGGCGCTCCATGCTCTTGTTAGGGCACCCCGATCCAACATCCCAGGCGGATGCACGAGGAATAGCAAGCTCTCTGGTCAAGGTCCCCTGCTGAGGCCGAAAACACGGAAAGTACTCGTAGATCCACGCCTGCAGAAGCGTAAGGCATCCAGCGATAGAATCAGCATCTCTTCGTGATGCTGTACCCGATTGCCGGTACATGTATGCTAGCACAGCAGAACCCCAGGAGTACTCACTAATCTGAACATCCTCAACAAACAGCTCGTTGAGGAAGGAAGGATGAGTACGGTTTCCACTCTTGTCCAAAAACAAACAACTGTCGAGTACTAACCACAGGTACGCCCTGTAATGGAAACTGAAGGGCCTCTGCGCCTCCAAGGTCGACTCCACTATCCTCTCAGTCAGGACCCCACTACTTTGCCATACGGTTTTGGTACCGCACTTCTCATTCAGCTCTTCCTCAGTCATATCCAAGGTAACCGAGCACGCGTCCCGTAAAACGTCCGTGCTAGGAGTAGTGGAAACCATGGAACCGTCGACACAAAGCCCTAGAATATGATACACATCATGCAGCATGATCGTGATCTCCCCAAAAGGCATGTGAAACGTGTTCGTGTCTGGCTGCCATCTCTCAACAAAAGCAGAAATTAAGGGCCAGTCAAATCGCCGGAACACGATCCCGGGTAAATGAGATAGACCAGTGCCATCAATCGGTTCCAGGTGCTCCGGCGGAAGACGAGCGCGGCAGTTACCCAATTCAGAACACAACCGTGTCCTGCTCAAACACCGCAGCACGTTTCGCTCCTGCCCACCCCATATGTAGGCAGACACGTGACCCCCAAAACTCGGAATAACGGTACCATCCTCAGGCCCACCTGGCATCGGCTCCTGCACCAACCATGACTCTGACGAGCTGGTAGAAGCTTGACCTGGTTCACTACTGCTAACATATCTCCCATGGTCACCCCTATACACAGTACGGTAATCCCGAGGGTTGTACTGTGCATCTCCAGCAGATTGACTTCCTCCATCTTCATCCTCCTCCCGATCTGATGAAGGCACTCCAGTAGAAGAATACATGGGGGCACTCCCCTGTGACTAGTGCTCCCCCGACCAAGCACCAACAGTCCCATACTGCTGCTCATGCTGAAACGGTGCATGTGAAGGTCCTGCACCACCTAACTCCCTCCTAACAGACGCATTCAAACGTCTTGATCTTGCATGACGAGGACCAGAACCCTCAAGCTGCATTAAAAAAATAAGTACAGAATCATATTTCAATAATAATTCATAGTCAAAAAAATCAAATCAAAACTATAATAAATAAAATCAAATAAACAATAATAACAGCATTACAAATAATAACAATAATATTATTCTTACAATACTAGTACACTACTAACAATAACAACACACTAACACACTACAAAATAATTTCAACACAATAACAGACCAAATCAAAACTATAATTAACCACAAAACTGCCAAAATTTAAACGCAACAACGACAACCCAATAAAAAAAACAATTACAATAACAATAACAACAATTTAAGTAAACAACCATAATACATAACAACAACAGCAGCAAAAACCAATACAAACCAAACCAAACTTACATAACAATAACAATACATAGCAACAACAAACTTATTAAAATAAAATCAAGAATTATTGCTAAACTATTTATTGTAAAACTAAATCAACAAAAATTACATATCAATAACTATTGCAAAACTAAATCAAGAAAAAAATTATTTTAATGCCACAAATGAAGGACACAAATTACTTCAAAAAAAAAAAAAAAATGGACACAAATATTTTCAAATTAAAACATGCACCAAATCAACAAAATCGAGGACAAAAAAAATAAAATTAGAAAAACATAAATTAAAAAACAAAGGAAAAACAGAAAAAAAAACGGGGGAAAAAACAGAAAAACACAAAAACCAAAAAAAAAAACGGAAAAACAGAAAAAAGGGGAATATCAGAAAAATAAAAAAAAATAAAAAATTCTGGAAACTAGACTTCCGCCCAGAAATTCCGGAAGTCCAGGAGAACTTCCGGAAATTTCAGGCAGAAACCCCACTTCCGCCTGGAATTTCCGGAAGTTCCCTGGACTTCCGGAATTTCTGGGCGGAAGTCCAGTTTCCAGAATATTTTTTTTTTCAAAATTCAAAAATTTAAAACAAAAACAAAAAACTCACCGGCTCGCCGCCACTAACACCGCCACCACGACCACCAAGCGTCAGCCTAATTCTCCGTCGGTCTGCCAACGTCGGTGCTGGCTTGGAATGTTGGTTGTGGCGGTGGCTGCAAAATTGTTGGCAGCAAGGTATGATTGGTGGCGCAGCAAGGAGGATGTGCGGTTTTTGTGGTGAAGGATTAGAAAATGGGTGGTGGTGGTGACAGCTAGCCGCCCTATTCTACTTGCTCTTTAAATTTATTCTTTTTGTTATTTGAAAATTACCATTTACTTCTTTCGTCCCATAATACTTGACACAATTACCATTTTCGTTTATCATAAAATACTTGACACGTTACTAAATATGCAATGAAATCACTAATAAAAAATATTTTCTTATACTTTCTTTGGGACCACAAACCCCAAAATCCAATTAAATTCTTACATTTTCTCTCTCCTTATTAGCACCACCTTTTATTTTCTTATAATATAAAAATATAAAGGAGAATATTTTATATAATAAACAAATGTTTTAAATGGACTCACTTGTAGTTTTCTTAAACTACGTGTTTATCCCAACGTCTTAAGTATTATGGGACAGAGGGAGTATTACTTATTTAAATCTATTTTTACTTTACCCAACTTATATACACGGATACACCCGGGTGTACCGTACACCCAACTAATTCAAGATTAGTTTTTGCTATTCATTTTATGATTAAATGAAAAACAATATGTTCAAAATGAGAATAAAATACTTATAGATATACGATACACCCAAGTGTATATAACAATCTCTTCTTATTAATTTATTTTTATAAACTCTACTAGTTGACGTTTATTGCTTCTATATCCTTGTATTGTATCAAATAAGCGTTGGCTCTTGCTGTAACGTATATTCATAAAAATCATAGAAAATACTTTAGAAAAATAAACTCAAAAAGATGATATGAGTGGATTGTCGAAAATTGGGTGGTCATTTAAGTCAAATAATCCTTATGCCAAGCAAGTTATATCGACAACCCACACGTGAATATAGAGAAAAGGACATACATATATAATTTATATATCATAAAATGACTGATAGTTTAATTTATATGTTTCGTAAACTACACCTATTGCCAATTTTATGGATGTAACCTCACTTGGCACTTAAAGTCTTTCTTCTTCTTTTTTATTTTTACTCATTGTAGATCTTGGTCTAATTTTCAAACTTAATAACGTGGTTAAATAGCTCAAACAAAATTGTACAAGGAAACATATAAAGTGCAACTAGCATATTGCGGGCTTAGCGGCTCCTTTTCCAACTCAACAAGTTATTAACGTTGCTAATTTTCTCGTGAGTCAAACAGTATGTTTTTTGTCAAAATACAAAGTGAAAGTCGTAGGATTGGTGAGCTTGAATTATTGTGGATGCGTGAACCTCCTATGGAGTGGATGATTAAATTGAAACTCGTAACCTTCTTTCATACATAGTAATCATGTTGGGGTTAATGCAAGTCGAAAGATTCGATTGGTCAATTGTATAAAGCTATTTTGATGTTAAGCATCTTAATCTCATATGCTCTGCTAGGGCATGTATGCCCTGGGGGTAGGGCGGTGAGAAGTAGGCTTCTCGTCAAAGTAGTTAACTCCGTAATTATCTTATCCCACATGCCTTGCCAGGGCGGCTTTACCCAGGCAGACAGGGCAATGCTTTGAAATACTCCGTATGAACTTTTATCCCGCGTGCTCGTAGGGCGTTCTCGTCCTGGCAGACCGGACGGAGCTTAAAACCGAGCTTTTTGAATTGTGTTTGTCGCGCTCGGCCTGGCGGGCCTTTGGCTCGACCTGGCAAGGCTTCGAGAACATGTTTTTGGCCGGGTTATGATTCGTATTTTTGATTCCTTTACATAACCTATAAATACCCTTGAATTATTATTTTTATGAGAGACGGAAAACACAGAGTATTGTGAAACCCTAAACACAATAAACACAAAACCATTCCTATAGAGACCTGAGCAGTTCTTGAAGTAATTCCAACCTTCCAATCGGGGTACGGAGTTGGAAGGTAGCTGTGTTACCCTTGGGGAGCATTCGTCACTGAGAGCCTCGTACCGGTTGTGGCGTAATACGCTTCTAGGATAGCCGTAAAACGCGTCATAGCTTATATGAGATCTACAATTGACTATTTTATTTTTGCACTAATTTCTCTATTATTTTCATGGTTACAACATCATATTTCCAACAACTCATACGAAAAATATGATTTAACCAAAAGCTTAGGATTCATTTGATATTGCTGTGGTTTTCTATTTTTTGGTTTTTTGTTTTTCAAAAGCATATATATACACAGAATATATATTGGGTGAGGCAAGCCCTCACCAAACCATTGGTGAGACGACCAACACCCAACCACCATTTCTATTCAATTTCTTCAGATTCCATCCCTTTTTTTTTGAACTCAAACAGAACATAGACACTCTCATTCTTCTCCTTCTTTCCTTTAATACTCATAATATCATTCAAATCTACTTCCAAATTTCTTTATTTTATAGATTGTATCAGTCATAACGATCACAAAACCAACTCAGACTCACTTGGTAGAATCGGCTACTCGGATTGTACCCAACTCAGCTTCGACCTTTTTTCATGACTACTTCTGCAAACAACGATAAGAAATTAACAAGGCAACTAACTCAGATTGAGGAAGAGGAGAGAGAAAATACTAAAGATGATAGCTATAATAAATTAGTAATGATGATGATGATGATTGCAGTGTTCATGTGAATGAAGATAGTGGTGAAATTAGTGGGCCTAGAGGACTCGAAACCACCTGGTACGGTGAATGGGAACAGAGGGTCGTAGCTTTTAATATTTTCCCCCAATTTTAGTTGAAATTTTTTACCTACACCCCCCTTTAGGCATAGCTCACTGCCCCCTTTGAATTACGTTGTTTAATCATTTCCTGGTTTTTCCTTTTTGTTTTTTTTTTACCCTTTCCTTCTTATTACTTTCCTTACTTACTATCCAAGCCACGTATATATTTGATTTGTAACCTAATTTCCTGTATTTTTGATTCTTTTTTTTGCATTTTCTCTCTCTAGTTCGTTAATTTCTCTCTCATTCATGAATGAATCATTGTTTGTAGCTGTTGATCGTGATTGTGAATTTCGGCATTCCTCGATTTCCGATTTTGATCGTGATTGTGAAGTTGTTTTTCCCTCTTCTGTTGGATTGCTTAATTCATTTGTTGATCTATGTGAGTTGTTTTGATCAATTTTGCTTCTGTTTTAGTTGTTTTATCAATGTGATTTGTTTTGATTAAATTATCTCCGTTTTAGATCAATTTAGTCTATGCTTTAGCTCAATTTGTGTACTCTGATTTTGATTGCTATTTTACGCTAATATGTAGTAAAATTAGTTGATTTTGTCTCTGCTTTAGCTTACTTTGTGTACTTTGATTTTGATTGCTATTTTACGCTAATCTGTAGTAGAATTAGTTGATTTTGTCTCTAATTTAGTTTAATTTGTGAACTCTGATTTTGATTGCTATTTTACGCTATTGTGTATTAGAATTTTTTGATTTTGTTTCTTTTTTAGTTCAATTTTAATCGATTTGTTATTTTGGTTGTTATTATATGTTTATTCGAAATTTTTGATTATAATGTATGTTTATTCAATTACTCATTTTTGTCTTTGGTTTAGAATTATTAGAATTGATCTAATTGAAATGATTTAATCAATTATGTTGTTATTATGATCAGTAAATTTTGTAGATACGTTTTTTTTTTTGTTTTTTTTTTGTAATTTTATCATTTTAATCAGTTTCATAATTCTAACTGATCATTATTATTCAAACTAATATTCTGTTATAGTTATTTACATGATATTTTTGATATTTAGTACTATATTTTATTTTATTATTTTGATCATTTTGATAATGCTAAATGATCATTTTTATTATTATTGTTTACTTTTTTATATTTGAACATATATGTTATTGATTATGTTCATTTTTAAAAACTTATGGAGTGGGTACTAGTGATAAAATTGTTTTTGAAGAAGCAACTAAATTAGAGTTACTTGGTAAAGATTTTAATACTGAACAAGAAGCTTATGATAGTTATAATGAATATGCATTTAGGCATGGGTTTGGTATTAGAATTGATAAGAGTAAAACACGAAATGATTATTCTTTGAAGATGAAAAGATTTGTTTGTTGCATTGAAGGTTGGAAGGATGATAAGGCTAAGAATAAAAGGTCTTATGAGAGACTTGAAACAAGAACTGGTTGTTTGGCTTTTATTTAGTACAAGGTTGATCGTTTAGGTTTATGGACATGTACAAGCATTATATGAAACATAATCATCATATGATTCCTCTTGAAAAGAGACAATTGTTAAGATCTCAAAGGAGTGTTTCTAAAGAAAATTTGCAATTCTCGTCTGCATTAAGGTGTAGTGGAGTTAAAATTTCTGCAACTTTGAGAGCGATGAAGAAGGATATTGGTGGTTCTCCTAATTTAGGATTTACGGGACCCGATGCCTATAATGCTTTATCTGCTGAAAAGCGATCTTTAGTTGATGGTTGTGACAGTCATCAACTGATCAAATACTTTGCAAAAAGATAACTTGATGAAGCTGAATTTTACTACGATTTCGAACAAGATGAGGATGGGTGTTTAGTTAACTTTTTTTGGCGTGATGGTCGGATGAAGAGATATTATGAGTATTTTGGAGATTCGCTGGTGTTTGATAATACGTATAGGACGAATAAACATGGAATGATTTGTACTCCATTTGTTAGCATGAATCATCATGCTAATAACATTATGTTTGGTATGGGTATTATTCTCAATAAGCGAACTGAATCTTTTGTGTGGCTCTTTGATACATTCTTAAAATTTATGGGGAAGAAAAGTCCTATCACAATTATTAAAGATCAAGCTCAAGCAATTGCAGCCGGTATTCGGAATGTTTTCCCTCCAAGCGTGCATCATTGATGAGTGACATTTATGTTACCCTTAGAGGTAGTGTATTGGTCTCTTTTCTCCTGTTTTTCTTAGGTTTTTCTACCTCTTTTCTCCTCTTACGGCTTCCTTTTTTTTGTGGATGAAAAGTATGCTTATTTGCGCTTGTTTTGATAATCTTTATGCATTATTTTATCATCCCCATGCTCTCGTGATCTTTGCTATCTTTTGCAGGTTCCATGGCGGTCCTAAGCACGGTAGGAGGCCCCTTGGCCAAGTATGGAGGCATGGACAAAGACAAGAGGAGCAAAAGGGAAGGAGAGGAAGCAAGAAGAGGAAGTTCAAGAGGAGGTGTGGTCGAACCTCTAAGAGGTTCGGTCGAACCAAGGTGTGGTCAAACTTTTGAAAAGTTCGACCGAACCTCCAAGGCAGTTTCAACCAAGTTTTCAGCATGTTTACAGGACGGGTCGAACCAGGAAAGTTCGACCAAAAAAGGATCAGGGAAGTTCGACCGAACCTACCCTGAGTTCGACCGAACCTACCCTGAGTCCGACCGAACCTACCCAGAGTTCGGTCGGACCTTTTCCCGTTTCAGCTGACTTTTTGCGGAGCTTCCTAAGCAATTTTATAAGGGGTATAAATAGATTTTTTTGCTCATTAAAGAAAAAGGATTTTTCAGTTTAGAATAGATTTTAGGTTAGTTTTAGGTTTTAGAGAGAGAAACTCTCAAAATTTTAGAGAGAGAAAGTGAGGAGCACAATGGTTTTCATGGATTTTGGATAATCAAATGAGGAATTTGAAGATCTCCATCTTATATCAATGAACATTTCTTACTTTCTCTTCTCTTTATGCTTTATTTAGTTGCTTTCATTATGCTTGAGTAGTTTCCCTTCTACTAGGTGTTGAGTGAGGCTTTGTAATGATTATTTGAGTTATTTGAGATAAATTTGATGATAATTGTGTGATTAAATTGATTGAATTGATGTTGGCATGTTGTTTGTTTTAGATTGGATTGATCTCCCATGATAGCACACTTAATTGCATATTGGTTTTAGTTTGACAAGGGATTGTGAATTAGAATTGATATATTTGATTGCATTTTGGGTAATTTTCTTCTATGCACCTAGTCAATGAGGGATCTAGGCTAGGAATTTGAGAGATTACTTTTGAGTGTAGTTAATTCTCATTATAATTCTTTCTTTGCGTGATTGATTATCAAATGGATTCTCATTAGCTTATTAATTGTTCTAAGTGGATCTTTTCCCCTAGTAGACTTTATCATATCTTGTTCTTTATATGTGTTTTAGTGTAGTTGTAGTGTCCTTTATCCGTAAATCGACTTCGGCATAACTTAGGCATTAGATTAAGAACAATATAGCATTACCGTTCCTTGTGGTTCGACTCCGAACTTACCACTAGACTTGTTTAGGGGTTAGTTTTAGGATTTATAAATTTATTTGATTGAGTGTGGAATGTGCGACCGTTCTAACGCCCATCAAAATGGCGCCGTTGCCGGGGAACGATGTCAATGCTTGATTGTTTTTGATTGCTTGAGTCTAGGTCTTTGTGTATACTTTTTTTTTTTATTTGTTTTTTTTTTTTTGTTTGTTTGATTGTTTTTTGTTAAAAAAAATTAAAAAAATGGCATGTTTCTCATTTCCTCAATATGATAATGAGCCTTTTTGTGATTATTTCAATAGACTTGAGGGACTTGTAGATCGTAATTGTTATAGTCTTTGGGAGGCTTGTGAGATTTGTTATTTTGGTTTGAATAAGAAAACTAGGGATATTGTTGAAAGCATGTGTAATGGTGAATTTAAAGCATTATCAACTGATGATGCTTGGGATTTTTATGTATGGTTTGCTAGGGATGTTTACAATAAGGGTAATCATGTTTCTAATATTGATGTGCAATGTGTCGATTTTTCTAATGTTAGCATGCATTCCCATGATTTGTCACATGATCTCATTAGTGAACCTAGAACAAATGATTTAAACTCTATTTCCCCTATTGTTCATGATGATGAGGTGCATTCCAATGTTGATGAGCATGGTGTGTTTCAATATTCTTCATTATTTAGCATGCCTTCTTGTGATGTAACTTTTTCTCCCAATAATGAATCTTATATGCTTGATTGTGCCCCCTCTCCCCGTGATGATGATTATACTCATCCTTCTAAAGTTGATGCTTACAATCTTGGTTGTGATCCTTCTCCCCTTGTTAACCCTCAATTTTCTTCATCCTGTGAGTGTCCGATTGATTATTTAGAATCCCTTATTAGGTGTGTTGAGCTTGATTCTACTTTTGGGCCAAGTAAGGAGTTGTTTTTAAATTCTATGAGAAGTCAATTGGAGATGATGAATAGGAGTGAAGAGCGTATTGAGGAGGTAATAAGGAGAAAGGAAGAGCTAGAAAGCCAATTGTCATCTTTGTTGCATGATCTTAAATCTTTCAAATCCAATGTGTGTATTGAAGATGATGATGATGATGTTTTTGTGCCATCAAAAGATTGTGAGGAAGACAACAATGAGCTTTTGAGTGAAGGAAAGAGAGTTGAGAGTGAATTAAATGATGATTTTATGAATCAAAACCCTCTTTCTTATTTTGACCAAGTGCATGTTTGTGACTCCTCTATTCATGAGTATTTGGACTCATTTGAGATTATGTCCCATTTATTTTGTGAGGTTCAAATGAAAAATAATGACATTTTGAGTGAGTTCATTGAGAATGCTTCATGGGAAAGAGATGAATTTGAGATGAATTTGCATCCATTCATGCATGGTTTTGAGATCTTAGGCTTTCAGATTTCTAAGGGAAATGTTGTTTATCGTCGTGATAGGGAATTGGAAGATGAGGTTGTTTCTCTTGGAGATTGGTTGTTTGAGGGAGATGTAGATCATGAGTGTTCTTCTTTTGAGAATTCAATGATTAATTTTCATTCCCTTATTAGTGATGAGAGGCAAGGTGGTGAAAATGAGATCATTTGTGAGACCATTTCTCCTATTCCCCCACGTCATCATATTCCATTTTCAAGAAAATTTGATCATGTTCCCTCCTATCCCATGTCACTCCCTTATTTTCTCAAAGAGCCTATTGGGGGCCCTCTTTCTATTTGTGATCTTCAAGCTCCCCACTCATCGATTATTGAGGAAAAGGGTGATTTTGCCACCAAAAAACATTTTAAGGAGAGTTTGCCTTCCTTTTCTTTTTCTTCTTCTTCTTCTTTTGTTGAATTTTCTTTTGATTCTTCTTCTTCTTTTTCTTGGCATCTCTCTCCTCATTTGCGTGCACTATCCTTGTTGCACGTTATCTTCCCGTCATTTGCCTACCTTCTTTCTTATGAAATGTGTAGTAGTGAATTTGATAAGCTCTTACGATCCTTGCAATATTATTTACTAGAGCGGTCAAGCTTGGACCTTAAGCAAGCCTTTCTCGGGAAGTAACCCGTGTTTATTGCTTTCATTTTTTTTATTTTTAGAATAGTTTTTGCCTCATGGAAATGTTTGTGTGCTTGGTGCTAGGTACATAACTTAATATACTCTTATGCATTGGTTTGGATCAAGAATCAAGGAAGTTTGACTCCACTTTTGCTAGCACATGGAAAACAAGATTCAATTTTAGAGGTAGTCGGCTTCAAGAAGGTTTAATTGGGTCATTTGCGGGTACTATACCCACCTAATATCCGGTAATATCCTTCCTTGCTCTTCCTCTAATGATTTGTGACTTGTTGGACATATGTTGGTTGGTTGGATGACTTTCTTTCTTTTCTCCTCCCATGGATTCTTTGGTTTAAAGTTTGAGCATGTTGCCTCATTCAAGCTTGGGGGAGGGTATTCTATCATGTTTGGTGGAATTTTGATTCATATATGCCATGCACATTTGTATATGCATTTCCATTTTCTTTATTTTGAAAATTCCAAAAAGATTTTGTTTCTATCAAGGCAAATTTGCAATGTGTTTTGTTTTGTTCTTACTTTTGACATAATACGCTTGGACTTGTATTCTTGAATGTCTTTATTCCTAAATTTTAAAGGTATGACCGTTTAAGAATGTGTTAGGTTGACTCTAGGATATGATATGCTAAGGTAGTTGTTAAGAACTTTGAGACCATGAAGCCCTAGTTCACTTGCTTGTGGTAAGATGGAGTTGCTCTCTATGGTGGATATGAAATCAAGAGTTAGTTATTGCTATCCCTAGTGAGGTAAATTGTTCAAGCCTTCATCATACTTTGTTGAGCGGAATATTTGAATCCTTGGCTATTGCATTCTCGTATCTAGAACTTGACCTTTAGCTCCCAAGATCGCGACCGTGCCACTTTAGGGGATGACAAAGGAATTTCTCTTTTTATAGGATAGATTTTCTATTTTTGAGTTTAGTTTATATTTGCCCCTCTTGCTAGCCCTTTTGAGCCATATACCTTCTTTTCTCTAGCCACAATACAAGCCTTGAAGCCTTGGTTTCACTTTCTACCTTTAGTTTTGTGAAGCAATTTAGTTTTCGAGCTTGTTTTATTGTTTATGGTGCAAGTTTAGAATTATGAGTTTATTTGCAAAGCAAGTATGTGTTGTATATAAGTTTGTGCATAAAAGCAAATGCATTTTGAGAAAAAGTCGTCCAAAGTTAAAGAGGCAAGGACTTTTAAATGAAAAAAAAAAAAAAT